AGTTTAGTTTTTTATTACAGAATTAATTAGCTGGCCCAAAAAATGTTTCAAGCTCTACTTGTTTGAAAGATGCCCTTTACAATTTTCTAATCACTTCTTGCAAGTTTGACAAAGCTTCTTCATGTTTTGACCTGGTTGTATCCCAAAGGTCCTGTTGCAGAAGGTACTGTTCTAGCGAATCTATAGTGTTCAGTGCTTCATTATGAGTAACTTGGCACATTTCTGTGCTGTCATCATCCTCATCACTTTTATCCTTTTCAGGTTCTGGATTAGTAACTAAATTCACTATTTCCTGATCACTTAATACCCCATATATTTCTTTTTCTTCTGGATGGTCAATATATTCTTCAAGATCCATCACGTTTCGAAACTGGAGTGCTTCGATATTTTCACGTAATTCTTTCATCAATTCAATATTGTCATCGTCAAGCACCTCATCACCTTCTTCTTCATTCAAATCGACCGGAAGGATTCCTGTGTATAGTGTTGAAAATTACTGGAATTTAGCGTATTATATGTAATTTTACAATAAGTTTTTGATTAATTAGTTTTTATGTAATTTATACTAACTAAACTTTTGTAAAGCCAGTACTTTATATAATTACATAAAATTTATTTTATTAAAATTGCATGTATTGTAAGATTAGTACTTCGTAAAATCAAATCAAGTTTTGAATTTGAATTAAATATTTGTAATTATTTGATCGAATAATTTCAAATATTTGATTCAAATTCAAAATCTGATTTGATTTTGCGGAGTACTATTACTGTAAGATTATGATTTTTTAAATCTTAATTTTACCAGTATGTCGAAAGCAGTTAAACACCGTTTCTGATGATACTTCTCTCCATGCTTTGGCGATAAACCTAATAGCAGTAAGAACATTCATTTTATCATCATTTCTAGCTTCATATTGATCAAGCAATCATTTTATAAAATAACTTTTATAACGACGCTTGAAAGACATAATGATGCCAGCATCTAGAGGTTGAAGACGAGATGTTGTGTTTGGTGGAAGGTGGTGAACAGTTGTGTTTTTAAGATTTAAATTACTAAAAGAATGACATTTTGCACCATCTATTAGGAGAATTATCTTATGACCAGCCATCTTCAAATCGAAGTCTTTAAGCCATTGTTGAAATAATATAGTATTCATCTATGCTTTAGCACTACTGGCATACGTGACACCAAGTTTGTTGCATTTGACACGTTTGAAACAGTGTGGGTTGGAGGACTTTCCAATTACAAATGGCTTAATTTTATCTGTCCTATCAGCATTAACACAAAGTGCTACAGTTAATTGCTCTTTATTTTTTTTTTTACCTTTAAGACTTTTTGTCGCCAGCATAGTGTCTGGTTCAAGGCTAAGAGGAGAAAAAAAAAATAAGAAAAAATAAAAAGCTAAGTATTAAAGATTGTATGGGTTGTAAAAATAAATAAATTTGCGAGGTTAACCTATGTTACATGGTCAAAGGCCATGTAACATGGTTAACATTGCAAATTTAGTTATTTTTTGTAGTCCATATAATAACCATATTATTGCACAGTCTTACGTACAATTCATTTCAGTAAGTAAATGAAAAAAGCATAGGTTGTTACGTAAGACCCGTGCAATAAATATTATATAACAGAGTGAAACCTGAGTTGATTTTTATTATTAGTATGGATATGAAAAGGGTGAATTCGCATTTTTAGATTACCTCTTTGATGCAAATCTACAATTAATTAGAGTTAGGAAGTGGTATGCATCAATAACATAACTCTTCTGACGCAAGTTTCACCTGTCATAATATTATTTATCTTTACTGATAAAACAATCCTGTTTCATCCATATTGTAAATATCTTTTAAATCATATTTTTCTAACATTTCTCTTAATTTAGGAATTGCAACCGCAATGACAGTGTCATCCACGGATGCATCCTCACCATGTTTTGTTATTTGGTTTAGACTGTGTCTTTTTTTAAATTTAAACAACCAGCCATGCGAGAATTTGAGGCTACAATCAGAAATTTTTAACAATTGAGCATAGTATTTCGCTTTTTCAATTATAATATCATCACTTAAGATTATTTGGTCTTGATTTTGAAGAATCCACTCGAGTAATGCATTTTTAAGATCTGGATACTGTACTGTTTTCTGCCTTTTTGCAGATAGATTGTCTTCAACATTATCCTTATTTTTTATTAGGTGCCCAATGGTAGAAGGATGAATGTCAAGACCCATATTTTTTTTTACCCAACTGACAAGGTCAACATGACTGATATTTGGATTTTTTTCTTTATATGTAATAATATCTTTTCTTTGTTGATTATTAAGAGTAGTTTTTTCTTTTCGTTTACTAGAAGACATGTTATAGCTTATAATTTACAGTACAACAGATGTATAAGTTTTTATGTGAAAATATTATATGAGCAAGACTTGATCGTTTACTTTTATTAAAATTTTTAATATATTTTTTTTATAGGGTTTATCACGACAACAACACCCACTATATGAATGTGAACAGCTTATCTTTTTTACTGTTTCACATGTTTAAAAAAAAAGGCTGTAGGCATAGATTTACAATGGATACTTAAACGCAAAATTACCAAAAAAAAGGCAAAAAAATCCTAATATTATCGAAATGGACCCAATTGAGAACCTCAATGATGTTAATGAAGTTCAATGAATAATTATTCATTGAACTTCATTATTAAGATTTTGCTTATAATTATTCCAATTTTCTTTAGTTGCTTTGTCATACATAATTTGGGGTTCTATTGACTTTTTCTTAATAGATACTAATTAGAATTTTTGTTCTTGCAGGACAGAAGTGGAGTTTTGCACAGATTTTACTACCACATACTGTGTGTCACTATGGCGAATGAGTTCTTAATACATGAATTAATTTTTTTGTGACGAAAAGGAAAAACATGTAAATCATTACAATATAATAAGTTAAATGATTTACGGGTTTTCCTTTTTTGTCACTCATATACGTTAATACAAACCTAACTAATCCACATGTTGTGTTACTACGGTGGGTAAGTTCTTAATAAAATATTTTTCAGTTACGCAGTACCCAAAACATACGGGAACTAACTTTATTGGAAAACAATTAGATTTGTGCTAACTTTATTGGAAAACAATAATTATAATAAGAACGAAATTATGCATTATGATTTCAGACTGTAGTTTTTTTTTGTTTTATCAATAAGTTAGATGCAAGATAAGCTAACAATAACCTGTTTTTTATTTATTGTATAAGAAAGAGCAAAGCCCAATATAATGCTTGAAAAAAGCTGTTTGGGGTAATCAAAATCATGACCGTATTTTTGATAAGCCATATTTTGTGTTTGCCGTGCTTGAAAATTTCTCAATTATTCAGAATTATGCTATAC